CTGCCTCAGCCTCAGCCTGCATCAGCCTCAGCCTCAGCCTCAGCCTGCCTCAGCCTCAGCCTCAGCCTGCCTCAGCCTCAGCCTCAGCCTGCCTCAGCCTCAGCCTCATTCTGCCTTCAGCCTCGGCCTCAGCCTCAGCCTGCCTCAGCCTCAGCCTGCATCAGCCTCAGCCTCAGCCTCAGCCTGCCTCAGCCTGCAGCCTCAGCCTCAGCCTCAGCCTCAGCCTCAGCCTCAGCCTCAGCCTGCAGCCAGCCTCAGCCTCAGCCTCAGCCTGCCTCAGCCTCGGCCTCAGCCTCAGCCTGCCTCAGCCTCAGCCTCAGCCTCAGCCTCAGCCTGCCTCAGCCTCAGCCTCAGCCTGCCTCAGCCTCAGCCTGCCTCAGCCTCAGCCTCAGCCTGCTTCAGCCTCAGCCTCAGTCTGCCTTCAGCCTCGGCCTCAGCCTCAGCCTGCCTCAGCCTCAGCCTGCATCAGCCTCAGCCTCAGCCTCAGCCTCAGCATCAGCCTGCCTCAGCCTCAGCCTCAGCCTGCCTCAGCCTCAGCCTCAGCCTGCTTCAGCCTCAGCCTCAGTCTGCCTTCAGCTTCGGCCTCAGCCTCAGCCTGCCTCAGCCTCAGCCTGCCTCAGCCTCATCATCAGCCTGCCTCAGAATTCAAAATGTGGCCCGGGAGTGGAGTTCTGGGAACTCGAAAAACACGAAGTGGCTTACAGTTGGCTCCGGGCATTCAAAATCATTCCCAGGAATAGAGTTCTGGGAACTCGAAGACTACGAAGTGGCCTACAGTTGGCTCCGGGCATTCAAAATCATGCCCAGGAATGGAGTTTTGCAACTCGAAGACCACCGCGTGGCCTACAGTTGGCTCCGGGCATTCAAAATCATGCCCAGGAATGGAGTTCTGGGAACTCGAAGAACACGAAGTGGCCTACAGTTGGCTCCGGGCATTCAAAATCATGCCCAGGAATGGAGTTTTGGGAACTCGACGACCACGAAGTGCGTTACTGTTGGCTAAAAAAAGAGTGTCCGGATTCCCCCGGATCCCGTCGGGATCCCGCCCAGACCCCCTTGGGGAGTCATGATGCTCTCTGTTGACACCACTAGAAACCTATCAGTCTTCGCTGTTAGGTAAAAACGTTCACATATTAATAGCTAAGCCATCTCTGCGTGAGCTTGGCGCCATGGGCTGGGGAGGGCCAAGGTGGCATGGGAGCGATGAGGGCGTTGAGAAGGGGCGAGAACACCTGCCCTCAGGCCGCTCAGGATGTGCGGAAGACCTGGGCCAGGGCGGAGGAGGATGGGGAGGAGGAGTATGGCCAGAGGAAACCCAAGATGCATCAACCGATGCTGCAATGTACCCTCCCGTCCCGAGTCCCTTCTTTATAAGTCCATACAAGTCTTCCTTCCATTGCGGGCGCCCCCCCCCTTGAATGACGAGCGGCCGGTCGGTCTGCCAGTCAGACGAGGGCGTCCGTTGTGAAGGATTTTCCCACCACTTGAAGGACGCCCAGAGTACCCTCATTTTGAGAAGCATGTGACTTCCATCCGTCTAAGCGTTGCAGGATGTCAAAGTCGTGGACGTATGCGTCGCGGAAATATCACGCGAGAGCCCCGCTTCGAAAGAGGAGCCACCCTCGATTAACGTTAGCTGTTGCACTATATCGAACGCCGGGTCGTAGAGGTCTAGGAAGGGTTACGGGAGTGTCGACGGTGGAGTTTATTTTCGAATATGCGCGAGGCCAAAGGGATACCCCAGTACGGTGGGGGCGTTTTTCAAGGATTGGGGCCTGCAGGGTGCAGCCCTTGAGGGTTCCTTATCTGATCACGGCAGCGGTGATATCCATGGTCGATCCACGATTGGGGTTCCACGTGCTTCCAGACCCTGGTTTCCTCATCGAGGGGTTCCTTGTCCAGTGCCCCCACCGTCTTGGGAAGGGGTCGCCATCCACTCGCGCAATTAAGGACCATTTGGAAGCCGAGTGTGCACGGCGCCAGGGCGAGAGTCCCTTTTTGAAGACGGCCCGCCCTGCATCTGCTCTTCGGCTGTATTGTGTGAAGCGGTGGTGTGCGGCGCCAGCAGAGCGAGAGCCCCACTGTGAAACCCGTTCTTGGCCCACGCGCCGACGCGACTTGCACTCGTCTGCTCCTTGAGGCTTCCCGCGACGACGAGGACGATGAAGATGAGGAGGTGGACGCTGTTGCTGATGGTGGCGACGGCGAGCTGGAGAGCACTTGGGGAGAGTTTGTAGCGTCTGGGAGCGCTTGGGAGCGTCCTTGGTCGTCTGGGAGCGCCTGGGGCAGCCTGGGGAGCGCTTGGATCCCCAACCGGAGCCGGCGCGGGATGCCCGAAACGTGCCGATTTTGCTGTACATGCCGTCGATTTTTTTTTTTTTTTTGTGTTGCCATTTGTGCCCAGGCTCTTCGTGGCCAGGGGGATGGGTCGATGTTGAAGATCCACAGATGCGCACGGCATACTTGTTGGCCGCATCGGAGGATAAGGGCTGGATCGCATGGATGTGCACAGAGCGGCGCTTTTGCGTAGGATGGTGAGGGCTGGGTCGGCTGGGTGCGCACAGGAGAGAAGCTTTGACATGGGATGGTGAAGGTGGGGTCGTATGGTACTATGTCCTGCGTAAGATGGTGAAGGTTGGGTCGCATGGATCTGCGCCGAATTGTTGTTGTTCCCCAGTCAGAGCTTGCCTCTGTATGGGGTCCTAGCGGACTCATACGCGTAGGTGACCTACGTCGCCGATTTCGGTGGCCGGCCCGGGTGCCCGCGGGGGTGCCGAGGTGCCCGGGGGGTTGCCCGGGTGCCCCGGGCGCCGGGTGCCCGCGGGTGCTTGGAGGTGCCCGGAGGTGCCCGGGGGCCCGGGGGCCCAGGTGTCCAGGTGCCCGGTAGTCCTATAGCCTTGTAGTCCTACAGCCTTATATATATGTATAGACACATATACAAGTGGCACGTGTGTGCCCAGGCTCATACAACAAACTGAAGGGGCGTTTGAAGCAGGAGTGAAATGCAACATCGAAGTCGCACTCGAGCGCAAGTGGGGTTGCCACACCTTGCGATGTGTGTACCAGGGCCCCCAGGAAGCCTTAGGAGGCCCGACTTGGATACCAGAAGAGGCTCCAGGAGGCCCCAGGATTGTGAGTGTTGTGCGTGTGTGTGTGTGTGTGTGTGTGTGTGTGTGTGTGTGTGTGTGTGTGATGTATGCTTCGTGTGGTGCGTGCTTTTTGTGTGTGTTGTAGGTGTTGTGTGTGTGTGTGTTATGTTTGTCCAGCGTGTGATGTGTTGGGCGTGATTTGTGTCTCTGTGTGCATGTAGTTCTGAAGCCCCAGGAGGCCCCAGGAGACCCCAGGAGGCTTCAGGAGGCCCCAAGAGGCTCCAGGAGGCCGCAGGAGGCCCCAGGAGGCCCCAGGAGGTTTCAGGACACCCCCAGGAGGCTCCGAGGCGGGGTCTGGGGTGCCAGAAGGTTCAGAAGGCCCAGGAGGCCCCAGGAGGTTCCAGGAGGCCCCCAGGAGGCTCCGAGGCGGGGTCTGGGGCTCGATTTTGGAAGGATTTTTCAAGCGAAACCGGCATTCACTGAGAATCGGGGTCACAATTATTGAAATTACCATGTGAAGGTTTTATGTTAAAATGGTGAATTTCCCATGTGTTTTTGGACCCTGACGTCGCGATCTGCGTGAGGGGTGCCACCGATTTTCAGAATTTCGAGGATGTCCCGAGCGAAACGCCCAGAACAATCGCGGACGCGTGCGCATTAATCGCCTCTGAGCTCTACTCCTTCGGAGAGGTGCGTATGAGAATATATATATATATATATATATATAGATTGCCCTATAGCCCAATAGCCCTAGCTCTATAGCCCTATAGTCCTAATAGCCCTATCGCCCTATAGCCTTAATAGCCCTATAACCCCATAGCCCAATAGCCCAATAGCCCTATAAACCTATAGCCTTATAGCCCTATAGCCCTGCAGCCCCATAGCCCTATAGCCCTATCGCCCTATAGCCCTATAGCCCTATAGCCTTATAGCCCTATAGCCCTATAGACCTATAGCCCAAGAACATTCGCCCTATAGCCCTATAGTCCTAATAGCCAATCGCCCTATAGCCTTAATAGCCCTATAACCCTATAGCCCAATAGCCCTATAGCCCTATAGCCCTAAAGCCCTATAGCCCTATAGCCTTATAGCCCTATAGCCCTATAGCCCCCATAACCCTATAGGCTTAAACTGAGTATGATGGTTTTTCTCAGGTATCATATGGGAAAGGTAAGGGTTGTGTCGTGTGGATGTGCGCCGAGTAGTAGTGTCTTGCATATGCTGGCGAAGGTTGGGTCCTGTGGAAGTGACCAGACTTGCATATGTTGCGTTGGATGATGGGGGGTGGGTCGGATGGATGTGCACAGAAAAATATGGCGCATCGGATGGTGAGGGTTCGGTAGTACGGATGCGCGCGGCGTAAAAACGATCACCGCATGATAAAAACCACGGCCTCTATTCTTCAAGTTGCTGCAAGTTGTTCAAGACGATTGCGCACGGCGCTAGGGCGAGAGCCACATTTTGGAAACGAGCCGTCCTCCATCCTTGAAGCCGCTGCAAGCATTTTAAGACGAGTGTGCGCGGTGCTACGGCGAGAGCCCATAAAAAAAATCACCCAGGCTCCATCCTTGAGGTTGCTGCAGGATTCAAGCTCAGGATCATGCTTTGGCGAGGAAGTCTCAGGTGAAACGCCCGGCCTGGCCTGCGGACACGTCTGGCGGCTCGACACGGAGGAATTATCAACAAGGAAAACGAGTGAAGGAGCAGGGGGCAAGGCCTTGGGAAGTCCCTCGCGGTCTTCGGGTCATACCTCGGGCCTCTGGCGCCCACGCCCTTGGCGAGGCGCAGCCGCCAGAAGGCATCCCTCGAGGACGGAAAGCCGCCGAAAACCATCGACATCGCCCGCAAATTTCAAACCTCGAGAGTTCATCCCCCCGAACGCTCCCACCCAGCGCCCGCCGGGGGCTGCAGGCTGCTTCATGCTGGAGGCCCTTCGGTTCGGCATCCCCACTTGGAAGCTCCACTTCAACGCCCACCCGGGAGGACCAGCACGGCCGCCCCCACCGAGCAGGGGAGGAGGAAGGAGGGGCGAGGAGGAGGAGGAGGAGGAGGAGGAGGAGGAGGAGGAGGAGGAGGAGGGGAAAGATGAGGAATCGGACGAGGAGGAGGCGGAGGACCATGAGGAGGTGGAGGAGGAGGAGGTGGAGGAGGAGGAGGAGGAGCAGGAGGACCATGAGGAGCAGGAGGAGGAGGAGGAGGAGGAGGAGGAGGAGCGCCTGCCCAAGGAGCGCCGCAGGCGCCGCTGCAGGCCCGCCTGCCGCCGTCACGCCGCCCGCCCGCCCCGCGCCGCGCGCCGGTCCAGCCTGCTCGAAAGTATGTTGCATTGTGCTATGCCTGTTGTCCGGGTTCCGCTCACAAGGAGGTGCGGCTGGCGAGCTGCGCCAACCCGGACCGCTACTTCTGGCATCCCGCTTGCATCCCACAGGAGGCATCTGGGCATGCACAGTGGAGGGTCTGGCCGCGCTGCCCGAGGAAGCGCGCTCGGTGGTTCTAGCGTGCATGGTGGACGCCACGGTGCCGCAGCCCAGCGCCGACGATGCACCCTCAGGAGACCCAGTGCCCCGGCACGCGGCAGCCGCAGAAGCCGGAAACCTCCCAGGCTTGGCGTGGTGGGACACCTTCGACTTACAGAGCGCCCTCCGCGAGCCAGTGCCGACTTAGACGGCTGTTCCAGCTTGCCTCACCGTGGCCGTTGGCGACGTGTTGGCCGCGGCGCTCCAGACGGTGGCCGCGGGCCCGGCCCGAGAGGCCGCTTGGGCGCGCCTGCTGCTCCTGCCGCGCATGCTCTTCGCCATCCCTCCTGCCAGCGATGACCGGCGCGCGGATCGCCCCCCAGTTCAGGATCTGGCAAGCGCGGGCGGGTGATTAGGCGGGCGGCCACATCGCGGCCTGGCGACAATGGCGGCGGCGGCCGGCGGCCGCCAGACGCCGCAACCCAAAGCAAGCGGTGTCTCGGGCCGCCGCGGCCGCGAGCGGCCCAGGGAAGCTCGCTGTCGGGCCGCACGCGCGCGCCCGCTCGGCCAGCCTTTTCCCAGAGGCCGGAGCCCCGCCAGCGCCGCCTCCGCCACAGCACCCAGGGGAAGCTTGGGAGGCCGATGCCGCGGAAAGAGCCGCCAGTCATCTGAGCAAGTTCCCGCGGCACTCTGGGCCGGGCCTCACGGGGGCCCGCTTCGAGCACTAGTACACTCCGCGGGAACACAAACGGGAAAGAGGCGTTGGCGTCGCCGTCACCATGCGTGGCGAGGCGCCGCTGGCCGCCTCGAAGGCGCTCTTGGGCGGTCGTTTAATCCCGTTCCAGAACTAGACGGAGGGGCACGTCCCCGCCTACGGAGACGTTCCGCCGCATGGCGGCGAAGGCAGCGACGACGAAGCACAAGGAACTCATCGCCCAGGCGGTGGGGGCCGCACCAGTACGGCGTCGGCCGACGCAACAGCGGAAGTCATGCACAAGCTGGTGAACTGCCCCGCAGAGAAGGCCCAAAGAAGTGCAGTTCTGCGACTAGACGACGCAAGCGTCTTCGACGAGATCGACCAGGATGTCGTGCTCCAGGAAATCGCCTATGGCGCCTCCCGCCCCTCGCGCGCCTCGCCTCGCCTCGGCTCGGTGCGGCGGAAGCGCCGCGCGCGGCGCCCACGCGGCCAGCGCGACAGCTGAGGTGACGGCGGAGCGCGGCCTCGTCCAGGGCTCCCCCCTTTCGCTAGCGGTTTACGCGACAGCCACGGCGAGGCTCTATGAGGAGCTGGCGGCGGCCGCTTTCCAGCGTGACCCCAACATCTGGGTGGCGGCCCACCTAGATGACGTGTTCGTCGTCGACGCACCGCATGCGCTCGCCACGGCCCTCGCCGCCGCCCCTGCCCTCCTCGCTGCGCGCGGCCTCCGCCTCAACGCCGACAAGATCAAGGTGTGAGGCCCGCGCGGGCTGCAGTTTCCGCGGGGCCTCGCGGCCGCGGCGGTGGCCGAGCTGAAGTGCGCTGGCAGCCGCTTGTCGTTCGTCTCCGGCTGGGCGGCGGCGGACGGATTCGGCCAGGACCCCGCTGGGACGAGCTTGGGCTCCGCGGCTGCGCCCGAACCGGCGGCCCGCCTCCTTCATGGCGAAGCTGCAGCGCCTGCGCGAGCGCGGACTCATGCTCCAGGACGAGTTTGTGCTCCTGCGCAAATTCGTTAACGGCGCCGCGTATCACAGCGCGCGAGCGCACCTGCTCGACGAGGCCCGGTCGCGCGCTTACGACGACAGGGTCCTGCAGCACGCGCAAGGCCTCCTGCCGGGGCGGCCGCCCACCCACCACGCGCGAGACGGCTTCCCTGCCTCTGGCGCTCAGCGGGCTTTGTTCGCGCAGCTTGGAGGAGCGACTCCTGCCCGCGTTCGCGGGCTCTTGGCTGGCGTGCTTGGCGGGCCCAGCCTCCAGGCCTTCGCCGTCGCGTCCCTTCAGTTGTGGGCGACGGCCGAGCGGGCGGGGCGGCTCGCTGGGGCGAACCCCGCTTCCTGGGTCGACGCCGCGGCCGAGCGCCAGGAGAAGGCGCAGAAGCGCTTGATCCAGCCAGCGCAGGCAGCGACGCGCTCGCTTGTTGGCTTCACTCCCCCCCAGCAAGGCCACCAGCCTCCGCTCCGCGGGCGGCAAAAGCGCGGGCGCTTTCCTGCTGCCCCCCAAGCGACAGGACCACCTCCTGGCTGACGAGCACCTGCGGCCCGCGCTCGCCCTCTGGCTGCACTTGCCAATGCCCGAAAGAGCCAGCCCCAACCAGCCTGCGGCGGAAACGCGACGGCATGGTCTGCGACACCGACCCGCGCGCGCCCGGCCACGCGGTCGGCTGCCCCGCGGCCAGTCTGGCCATCTTCAAGCACGACGGCGCCCGCGATTGGCCAGCCGGCTGGCTGGCCGAGCGGGGCGCCGCGGGTTTGGACGCCGAGCAGGACGTGCCCGCCCGGGACCGCGCCCGCCCGGACTGCAGCGTTGGAGCCGCGCGCCGAGACGTGACCTGCGTCGACCCGGTCGTGGGGCGTCAGTGCGTCGATGTCACGGTCGCCGACGCCGCGCTCGGGGCCTGCGCGGGCGCCAGCCGCAGCCGCGCGACCCGGGACGGCGCCGCAGCCGCGGCGAAGGAACGCAAACACCTGCGCTACCCAGGGCCCGCGCTCGAAAAACTGGGCTGGCCAAGCAAGGAAGCGCAGGCCCTGCTGCGCACCTGGTCCGCAGGAGACCCGCGGGCCTTGGCGGCCGCGCAGCAGGGCCTCTCTGCCGCTCTCCAGCGCGGCAACGCCGAGGCCTGGCACGCAGCCGTGTTGCCGAGGGGCGCCACTGCGCGGCGGCTGCTTGCTGCCGCGGGGCACGGCGCCCTGCCTGTGCGGCGCTTACCCAGTAAGCGCCGCGCGGGCCCGCCGCGGGGCTGGACGCGGGGCGGCTCTGCAGAGTTGAATGCATGCGTGGCTGCGCGCAAGCAGAGGCGGGCGCGGGCGGCGGGGAGCTGGGCGCGCCGGGCGGCGGCGGCGGCGGGCGGGGCTGCGGGGCTGCTGGCGCAACCTCGGCGAGCACCGGGCGGCGCCGGGCGGCGGGAGGCGCAGCAGCGCGAGTTGGGCGGCGGCGCCAGGGCCGCGGGCGGCGGCTGGCGGGCGCAGCGCGGCGGCTGGCGCGGCGGGGCGGCGGGCCCGGCCCGGGCCACGGCCGGGAAAGCGGCGGCGCAGCGGCCGGGGGGCGAGCTGAGCGGCGCCGGCGACCAGCAGCGGGGGCGCCGGGGGGCCCGCGCGCGGCGGGCGAGCGCGGCCGCGGTGCGCGAGCGGGCCGCGGGTGAGGACGAGGGAGGAGGAGGAGGGAGGAGGAGGAGGAGGAGGAGGAGGAGGAGGAGGAGGAGGAGGAGGAGGAGGAGGAGGAGGAGGAGGAGGAGGAGGAGGAGGAGGAGGAGGAGGAGGAGGAGGAGGAGGAGGAGGAGGAGGAGGCGGCGGCGGCGCGGCGGCGGCGGAGAGAGGAGAGGAGGAGGAGGAGAGGAGGAGGAGGAGGAGGAGGAGGAGTAGGAGGAGGAGGAGGAGGAGGAGGAGAAGGTGGTGGACGAGGACGATGAGGAGGAGGAGGAGGAGGAGGAGGAGGAGGAGGAGGAGGAGGAGGAGGAGGAGGAGGAGGAGGCTGTGGCTACTTGGAGGCCAGCCGGCCCCCTCGCGCTCGTCGAAGAGCGGCGGTCCCGCCACCGAGGCACCCCTGAGCGGCAGCCCAAAAGGGCCGCGACGGGCAAAGAGGCCCTCCAACCTAGAATCCCGCGAGGCCCAAAGGCCCCGCCCAAACCAGGGCCAAGCAGGCCCCCCCCCAGGAGCCCAAGGGGACGTCGGGAGGGCTTCTCACCCTGCGGCCTCACAGCCTGAGAGCCTTCGACAAGCCCGAGCCTGTGGAGTGCTCAACCTTGTAGTTCATCTTTGCCACCAGCTACCCCGTCTTCTTCTGGAAGGAGTCCAGAAGCTGTTGGAGCGCGGGGCCGTCGAGCAGACCGTGCGCCGTGAGCTGCTTCGCCGTGCCGCACAGCTGGTCCAGGAGTGCGGCGCCCTGCCCCTCCTTGAACTCCTGCACGGTTTGGCTGGCGTCCTCGGCGCCCGCCTTCCCCTTCTCCTTCTCGTCCTTTTTCTGCGTCTTTCTTCCCTTGGGGCCGTCGCCGATGGGGTTGGTTTCAGTCGCGGCTGGCCCTCCGTCCAGACGATCTCGCCTTGCTCCACCAGCTGCGTCGGGCCCTTGTGCTGCAGCAGCTTTGTAGGGCTCGCGCAAGACAAAAACGTTACCTTTGCAAGGCTGTGCGGGTGCTTGCTGCTGGTCTCCGTGACCGTCTGGCCCCTCGAACGTGTCCGACTCGACGCCGCCTTTGCCGAGGTCCTTTGTAGCGGCGTAGGGAACCTTCACGAGCCCTTCCTCAGATTCGTCAGCGCCCCCCTCTTCGGGCTGCACCTTGAACACAAGATCACCGATGAAGTACCGCTCTGGCGCCACGGTGTCATGGAGCCACTCTACGCCGCCATCATCCGCTCGTTGATGATCATCTCGTGGGGCACCTCCGCCGTGTGCTTCACCTCCCGCTCCACCGGCTGGTTTTGTCCTCCGACGTTTTCTGGTCCCCTGGCTTGTACCATCGGTTCGGCGAACGGCTTTGGCTCCTCTGGGCCTTCTGCCTGCTCGCTTGCTTGCCCTTGCGCTTCTGCTTGACCTTGCCCAGCTTGGCCTGGAGGGCTGCCATAGCCTGGCCTGGACATTGGCTGCCTGCTTCTTGATCTTCGACGTCTGGATCCGCTTGCCCTCGGCGTCCTGGATCCAGCCACGCGCCTGCCAGGTGGCTGTTAGGCGGGCTGCGGTCGCCCCCTGCTTGGCGATCTCACTTGACGCTTGTCACACGCCTCCCCCTGCACGTAATTAGCCCTGCTCCATCACCTTGCTCAGGAAGCCGCAAACCAGCTGCTGCTGCTGCTTGCCCTCGATCATCTCGGTGGGGTGACCTACCATGCAGGTCGCGTCGCCACCACCTCCTGCTTGTGGAACGCGTTCTTCGCCAGCGGCCCGTAGTCCAGCCCGAGCTGGCGCAGGCGGAGCTGGGGGTCCCCAGGTTTGATCATGCCCGACTTGCTGACTGCCATCGACGATCACGATCTGCGAGGAGGAAGAGGAGGAGGCGGAGGAAGGAGAAGGAGGAGGAGGCGGAGGAGGAGGCGGAGGAGGCGGAGGAGGAGGAGGAGGAGGAGGAGGAGGAGGAAGAGAAGGAGGAGGAGGAGGAGGAGGAGGAGGAGGAGGAGGAGGAGGTGCTCGCGCCCCGACGCCGCGCTGTAGTCCGCCACGAAGCGAGCCGACGGGGCCCCCTGCGTGGCCCAGCAGCGAGGCCTCCACCCACAGCCGAATCGTCGCGCCGCGGGCGACGCGGCTCGGGGCGGCTGCGCCCCTCCCGAGGGCGCCGCCCTCCAAGGCTCCCCTGGGCCTGGGAAGGGCGAGGAGGAGGAGGAGGAGGAGGAGGAGGAGGAGGAGGAGGAGGAGGAGGAAAAATGAGGAGGAGACGGATGAGGGTAGGGGGAGGAGGAGGCGGATGAGGGTGGGGGGAGGAGGGTGGGGAAAGCGGAGGAGGAGGAGGAGGAGGAGGAGGAGGCGAGGGGAATGAAGAGGAGGCAGAGGTGGAGGGAGAGGAGGAGAAGGGGGAGGATAAGGAGGAGGAGGAGAAGGATCAGTTCAAACCCCAGACTCATCAACGATGTTGCCATAAACCCTCCCTGCAAGTTCCCTCGTCATAGGCCCCTACAAGTGTTCATGCTCACTGAACGAAATGCCCCGTTGGAAAGCAACCGTTTGAAA